CCTGACAGGTTTTTCAGCCTGTCTGTCTCTGCCTGCACTTGGGTTCACTTCACTGAAACAGATAGCTGCACGCTACCTGGTAAGTGCAGAGTTGTTACACTAAAATCCCAGAATTCACACATCATCCAGAATCAGAATACCTTCTCTCCCAATGTGTTCTTTAACCTTATTAAACATTATAGAGGAAAATGACCCAATAATTTTGATACCTATGTTTCTGATTAACTCTTTTAAACATTTGTTTTGAAATAATTGTATTAAAATAAAAGCCTGCAGTTTTAACATTTTTAGGGGGAATAAAATATAGGTCATTATCTGTGTTGTTTATTTTATACAGTTTTTTTTGTTCATCTTAATCAGGGGTGCCAATAATTATTGAGACCACTTTATGTGATAAAGTTATGAAAAGGCAGAGAGAGGACAGTCACAGTGACACAACTGTGAAAAGAAAGAAAATAAAATCATGAGAAAAAATAGATGATAAACATTATTAGCATAAAGTCACAAAATAAATTGTAAAACCTTGTTGTAGTGACTTCTTTGAGCTATAGACAGCAGTTTCATTCCTGATTCCCCCAGGTTGTTCCCAAATAGATGCACCCATCTTAGATTAGACTTCTGTGACATCAGAACAGAGGCCAGATCTTCACAATATCTTTCAGTTAGTTCACATTTCTCCATCCTGCAGATATAAATAAATAGTTGCAGAACATCTGCACACCTTATCCACAACTCTTTCCGAAATTTCAGTACAACTAAGAATAAGAGAGGGGAAAGAGTAAGGGACACAGCCTGTCACAGCCCAAGAGACACAGAGATCACTCCAAAATGACCCTACAGCTCTAGTTGAAAGAGGAAGGGAAGGAATGATCTCTATTGACTACTTTGTTCAGATCTTACTTCCTTACCCAACGTTAGTTAACTCTTGTGACTGTAACTGTTCTTCTACTTGTCTAGGTGCTAGAACCTATCCTGGCAAGCAATGGGTGAATGACAGTGCACACACAGATACAAACATGAACCCATCTGCATGTCTTTAGACTGTGGGAGAAAACCAGAGCACCCAATGGGAATCCAAGTGACCATAGGGTCAACATGTAAACTCCATTCAGACAGCACCACAGGGCCCCAGGGCACTGCTAACTGCTGCACAACTGTGTTGTCTCTATTCTTATATATTATATATTTCTGATATCATTAGTTATATCAATTACATAATTTAAAATGTAATCCATAAGTGAATGATCAAACGTGTCTCATCCGACAAATTCACAAATATTATTACAGCAGGTGGTTTGGTATTGTGTTAATAAATCATATATTACAGTATACGATTAGAATTTGAGTGTGCATCTCCTTGTCATTGTGCTTGCTTGACTCCATCATAACACTCTCACAACTTACTGTTCCACTTTCTAATTGTTCAAATCAATCCTCACATTGCTACAGTACATGTATAATATGCTATTTAGTTTAGGTGGGTGGCTGCATCAGCATGCATAGTCTGCAAAAGAACAAGTAATAGGTTTATTTCATGCTGAAAAGAGAAGAGAGAAAACACAACATTTTGGCTGTGAAGCCTTCTTTCGAAACGTTGTGTTTTCTCTCTTCTCTTTTCAGCATGGAATGAACCTATTACTTGTTCCTTAATACAGTATGTTGTTTGATGTTAAGTATATGGTCTGAATTGTACTTTATTATAACGCTGAGGAACAGAATAAGTAACACACTCAGTAAACCCTAACTTTATGGTATCTCTTCAGGAATAACAATGGGCAAGTATCAAGTGTACTGAAAAGATGTTTTAGAGAAAATTTGGCTTCATCCACTTGTCTGTTGGCTAATCTCTTGGCAGAGTGAGGAGTGACCGAGGGGCAGCTGCAGAGGTGGAGATGGGCTGGAGGAGGGATGTGAAAGATGTACTGTATGTGAGGGAGAGAAGTGGATCACATTCAGTATTTCCAGTATTTTAGAAGAGGAAATTAAATCGAGAGTGATGTGAATTACTGACAGCTGCATCTGATTGAAATTGGCTGCCATCATCCCTCCCAAACGTTTGGCACCATTAAATTATTTTAAATCTTTAAATGTGCAAGCTGTATCAGCACCTTATTCAGATTTGATTGTTTATATTGAAGTAAGATGTAAAGACAGGGTTAATTTTAAGTCATTTCTGCATGAAGATTGGACTTCTAAGGCTAGAGTTTATGGCAGGAAGGGGGTTAACTGATAAGGATTCCAGATGTGAGATAGGAGAGCTAGGGAACCCCCTGTGGACTTAATCCCTGACCATTTGGCCAAAAAGCTGTAAACTGGCCAAACACGTGACCTCCCCCCTTTGCCATAATAACGAATGACGTCCGAAGCAGCAAGGAAGGACTATATAAACCTAAAGTTTGTACCAGCACTTTGAACAATACTTCGGTTTTGTTGTTTCTTGCGGGAAACAAGACTTCGGCTTTATTGTTCCTTGCATGCAATAAACTCATCTGTTTAACTTCATCTCAGGATCCAAAACCTTATTCTTTCTGTTACAATATTTATCTTATTTCATTTTATGAGTCCCTATTTCCTGATTTTATAACTCATTACAATAATTACAATAATTGCGTAAGTATTCCTAATGTTCAACCTCATCATAAAACATTAATGATCAATTTGCTCATGGTACAATGTACTGTACTAACTTCACAATTACAAATTACCATTTAGGCCACAGGAACAAAACTTGGACTACATCAGGGTTAAAAACTTCATACAGTATATCTTACATGGGCTTTGGCAATAGGGAGAAGTTCTGAAACTGAGGCCGACGTGTCTGGCCACTCATTATCTATTAAAATGATAATTTATTGACACTATAATTTAACCATTGAAATAACCTCCTAACATTACTCCCAATGAGAATGGCTGAGGGTATAACTGACACTGGGAGACATTGTGTGGGTCCTCTGTAGGTTTAATGTTTAGGTGGGTTAAAATCTGTTCTTTTCAAGGATACAACCCCAGAGAAGTCACTCATTGTTCTCTTAACCAGCAGTTATTATCTCCCTGCAGCTTACAACTGGCAACCCACTTAAGCAGATGTGAGCCTGGCCAGTACCCGGATGGGAAACCTCCTGGGAAAGCTAAGGTTGCTGCTGGAAGACGTGTTGGTGTGACCAATAGAAAGTGCTCACCCTGCTGTCTGTGTGGGTCTTAACACCCCAGTATAGTGATGGGGATGCTACACAGTAAAAAAAGGTACTGTCCTTCAGATGAGATTTAAAACAGAGGTCATGACTCTCTGTGGTCATTAAAAATCCCAGGGTGTCTCTCGAAAAGAGTAGGGGTGCAACCCCGCCGTCCTGGCCAAATTTCCCATTGGCCCTTACCAATCATGGCCTCCTAATAATCCCCATCTATGAATTGATTTCATTACTCTGCTTTCTTCCCCACTGATAGCTGATGTGTGGTGAGTGTTCTGGTGCACCATGGCTGCTGTCGCATCATCCAGGTGGATGCTGCATATTGGTGGTGGTGGAGGGGAGTCCCGATTATCTGTAAAGCGCTTTGAGTGGAGTGTCCAGAAAAGCGCTATATAAGTGTAAGCAATAATGATTAATTAATTATTATTATTATACCTTCTATTCTGCCTTCATTTTGTAGTACTTGTAACTGCTCCCCCTGTTGGTGGCTTGTGTGTATAAATTTAATTCACGAGGAATGACAGCAGCTGAAAGCTTGGGAGAAATTAGAATCATTT